GGGGGCGCTACGAGCACTGGCGAGCGGCCCTCGCGGACCCGAGCGCCTTGGACGCGCTCTGCGGGGTGTGCGACCTTCTCGCGCACTGCCGCGTTTCGGAGAGCGCAGCAGCGGCGCTGGCCCTCTCGTTAAGTCGGGCGTGTCCCCCTACAGGGGGATTTTCGACGAAAAATTAAAAATACCCTACAACTAATCAAAACATAGCCCGAAAATAGTCAGGAGACTTTTTTTTTTTTTTTTTTTTTTTTTTTTTTTTTTTTTTTTTTTTTTTTTTTTAATATATATATAATATATATATATATATATATATATATATATATATATATATATATATATATGTATATATATATATATATATATATATATATATTTTTTGGGGTATTTTCTATTTTTCGTCGAAAATCCCATTGTAAGGGGACACGCCCGACATAACCCTCTCGCGACCCACGCCACCTCGGAAACCGGCAGGCGGCGTCAGGCCCATTGCGGCGCCAGAGTGCTCCGGCGTCTGGTGGGGCGCGCGCTGCTACGACGGCCGCGGGAGGCAGAGCTCGCCGCGAGCCTGCGCAGGCACCAACATGCCATAGGCACGGCGGCCGGCACGGAGCTCCTGGCGCACATGGCGCGCGCGCGCGCTTGCCGAGTCCCGCCCGTGGCTCTGGACGCGACAAACGCCTACGGCTCCGCGGACCGCGCGGCCTGCCTCGCAAGGCTGGAGGCCGAGGCTCTGGAGCTCCTCCCCTTTGCGGAGCTCTTCTGCCGGCGCACCTCTCAGTCCCGGTACTTCTACTGGGACGGCCGCGGCCGCTGCCGGCGCCTCGCATCCACGAGCGGGGTGGACCAATTAAGGGGATCCCTTGGCGCCGCTCCTCCATGCCTGCGGCGCCAAGCCGAAGCTGCGCCGGCTGCAGGAGGAGCTGCGGGCGGCGGCGGAGCGCTCGGGGCTGCGAGCCGAGGGCGTGCGCCTCCTCGCCTGCCTGGATGACGCCGCCGTGGTCGTCCCGGCTGCCCTGGCGGCCCAGGTGCAGCCAGCCGCCCGACGCGTTCTGCGGGAATTTGGCCTGGAACTACGACCCGCGAAGACGTAGGCCTGGTCCGCGGGCGCGGCCTGCCCTGCGGGCCTGAAGAGCTACTGATGCGCGCAGGGCCTCACGCTGGCAAGCGCGCCACTGGCCGCGCCGCCGCCAGGCGACCTCCCAGACGCAGGAGACGGGCGCCGGGTTGCTCTGGGGACGATGGGCTACGCCGCGGAGCACGGAGCCGGAGTGGCGAGGTGAGCGGCCGCCCTCCTCGAGGAGCTGGCGGACTTGCCCGAGGGGGCTTCGCCGCACCTGCCCGCGAGACAGGCGGCCTTGCTGCTCTTGCGCGCTGCGGCACGGGCAAGCTGACGCACCTGCTCTGGGCCGCGCCGCCGACGAGCACGGCGGCCGCCGCGGCGAGCTACGACGAGGCGCTTCTCGCTGCTTGCCGGCAGCTGCTCTGGCCCGACCCGCTCACGGAGCCGCAGCGAGGGGTTTGCAAACTGCCGCTGCCTCTCGGCGGCCGGGGCCTCCGCAGCCAGGGGCAGCTAGTGCCGGCAACCTGGGCGGGCTCCTGGGCCCAGCACCTCGCGGAAGCACGGGCCCGCGCCGGCTTGGCGGCACTCCCCGACCTGGAGCAGGCCGAGCAGCCCCTGGTCGCAGCTTGCCGGGCCGCCCGCCTCCTGCTGCAGCCGCGGCCGCAGATCGACGCAGGTCTCTGTCCCTCCTCCCCCCGCGCAGCAGGCTGCGCGGGGGGAGGAGGGACAGAGACTGAACGACGAAGAGCTTTGCCTGACATCGCGCGCTCCTTTGGGCTAAGACTTGGCGCCGCCCCACGCACTCTGCACTAACCGCACCCGTACGGCCCCGCGCGCAGGCCGGGTCTGCGTGGAACGCCTCTGCTGCAAAGCACACCACTCTTTTCGATGTTCCTGCGAGTCACGCAGCAGGGACGTCGAGGACGTGTGGCAGCGCATTCACAACGAGTGCGGCTACCACACGGCCAGGCAAATCCGTGTCCCCAGCTGGGATCGGTGGACGTGGAGCTGCCAGATCTGCGACGCTCGGAGCACGGATCACCAGCAAGCCGCCGGCCCCTGTGGCCAGAATGTCGTCTCCCACAAAGAAAAAATCATCCTCGATATAGAAACGCAACGTATCGGCTGCCCGCGGCTGTTCATAGATGTGACAGTCTGGTACGCCGTGCTCGGCGACGAGGCGGGCTTGGCCACGGTTGCCGGACGCGACGGCGCCATGGCAGCAGCAGCAGAGGCCGACGAGCGGCAGAGGTACCCAAAGGGTCGCTGCCCTTGGCCGGTGCTTCCCTTGGCCCTTGAAACGGGAGGGCGGCACGGCAAAGCCGCCTTGCGCCACCTTTGCCAGTTAGCGCGCGACCAAGCGCAGGTGGTCGAAGAGGACAGGGCCGAGGCGATCCGCAGCGCCCTGCGCCACCTTTGCCAGTTAGCGCGCGACCAAGCGCA